ATTGACATTTATTGTAATGTTTCAAAACTAAAATTAGTTGACAAACATAATAAATTCAACACATTTGTTACTTTTTCATTTATTTAAGTAACTTCCAAAGATGAGCAAGGAGAAAGAATAGTAGTAGGAAATATCATACATTATAAAAAAAACTGTATAACTTGATTATTTGCACTGCATAAAATCACATTTTTTTCAGCCTTTTACGTTACCTGAATATCATCTATTCTTGTTGAGGCATAGTGGTGATTTCTGTTCTAAACTCAAGTCAAGAATAAATACACAGTTCACAAATAAATCTGTAAATCAACAATCAGAAATCATAGATCATTACAAATAAATCACTGACTAAATGTTAAAGGTGAACTATGCGGGTTTTTTACCTCAACCTAACAGCTTCGGAGTCATTGGAATGGTTATATTACTCTTTTCGGGTTGAATGGTGGTCGTTTCACACCCCCCTATCGCATGTGAGCGGAAAAAGCACACTTGCAACTTTGAGCCGGCGGGCCGCCGGCCGCAGCATCAGGAAGTGTCGCGTGATATCAGGTCTCGCGATGTTAAAGATCTGATAAAATTCTGATAAAATAAGCATCAAACAGAAATAACCCGGCGTCGTATACATGTGGTGTTCGAGGCGCACATACAATACAGACTGCCGACAGTTAAACAGGGCGCCCGCAGCTCTTAAAGGGGCCACACCTTATTTCAACGCGTGATTTTTTCCCCCAAACCACTTCAGTGGAAATCCCGCCCTGCAGCCGATTCTAAAGTTTTCATTGGTCATGTCAATCACTGTACTGATTGCCTACACCAGACACTGATCCCTAAACCTACCCGTCACTGTAACCTAAACCAATGAAATCGGCTACAGGGCGGGATTTCCGCTGAAGTGGTTTGGGGGAAAAAATCACGCTATTTCAACTCGTTACAGCTTCCATCCTACTGAACAGGTACCGATGTACAGGGGGAGGGGATCAGGCCGTGAGTGCTATTTACAACAGTACAAGTACTCCACAGCAACTCTAGGGGTCGCTGTTTGACAAAAACGGAATTCCTGCATAGTGCACCTTTAAGCTAGCCTGGCATGCCAGACCTACATCAAGATGTTAGGTCTGGGAACTCTCCATTGACATGCCTCAATCCGAGGGGCGGGATAAACGGTTACCTTTCAAAATCCCTCTGCACGCAATAGGATAGCGCTACAACCAACCAGAGCAATGAACGGTTGTGGATGAGTGAGTCCCATGCGTTTTTCCACCAGCGGAGCTAATTGATATATTAAACTTTTGCCGTATCAGGTCGGTAAAAATCCGAACACATCTTCCTTTTTTAAGAATGACTTAAGTGACGTTCTCTTAACTCCAAGTCCTCCAGAGTCGCGATCAAAGCCGATTCGAAAGACCGCTGCATCTTCATTGTTTTCAAGTAGCAGGGAAATCACCTATGGAAATCACGCGGAACGTCATGAACTGTGCCGTCATTTTGTTAAGCCCGCCCGCCGACTCTATACACGATGTGATTGGCCTGACCAGTTTTTGGTTTTTACAGCTCAAAAGCCTATGGAGAGTTGCTAGACCACACTGGCTGCGAAATAATTTTCGCTGCCGCTAGGGTACGTCTAGATTTCTAGGCTACCTTTAAGCCCATATCTAAGGTGATCTGAGATTTTTTTTTTTTTTTTTGATAATTTTTCTCCTCATTGGCCCTATTGTTTCATCTGATTCCATTTGATTCCTCTTTAAGCAGTACTTGATTGAAGTGCTGATTGAAAACAGGTGCGGGTGATCAGTCCAGGGAGCGAGAGCAGGGTAGAGATGCAGCCGGAGGCCTGGAAGTCCATTGCGAAGCCAGAGTGACACCTGAACAAGATGGATCCAAAGGGACGAGGGAGCCCGGCAGAGCCTGAAGTATGACGAACCACTGTGGAGCCAAAGGAGACGGGAAAGGGTCAACAGGCCAAGGTGGTCTGTACTCTAAGGCCCTAGGTGGAGCCAATGAATCTGAGCACCTAGGATGAGCTGAGGACCGGGCAGCCTAAAGGTGGAGCCGGAGAGCTGGATGGAACCAGCAGAAGGGGATGAGTCAAGGAGCTAGACGTAACTAAGGATAGCGTTTGCTGACATCTGGGTCGGGATGAAGAAACTTGGGCCAGCCTATGTGGCTGGGATTAAGGAGCTTGAAGGCTGGACAGAAACACCGGGAGAGGAAGGAATTTGGACAGGACTGGGACATCAATCCAGCCGGATGGGGCGGCAGAGGATGAAGTTCGAGGGTGGAAACTATGGTGGGAACTGGCTCAGCATGAAAGTCTATTAACTGCTCCTCACTTGCCCGTTTCAAGGTCGACATGGCTACAGGCTCCAGCTCCGGACATGCTGGAAGACTGTCTCTAAGATGGACATGGCAAAAGGCCCTTGCTCCATATTGAGCGTGGGCTCTGGCTCTTGGTCCTTGGCAGGCATGATGAGGAGAGGGCACAGACTAGGGAGAAGTTCTGAGCTGATGTTGTACTCGGGGCAGATGACATGAGAAGGATAGGAGTGGGATGGGGGGGGGGGGGCTGTGACCGAATGGCACCGTATTCTTCATCCACCTCACTGACGGTGTAGTGAGAGCCATACAGCCACAGCACATAATCCACATAATGAGCCAGATTCAGCAACAATAATCCCATCTAGTTTAGACTTTTGGAATTTTGGAGAAATATTTGATGCCCAGCCGACTTTCAAAGACCAAACTGTTACAACAGCACTATCATTCAGATTTGCACTGTACAACTTTAGGAAGATCCAGCCCTTCCTAACTGAACATGCAACACAACTTCTTGTCCAGGTCCTTGTCATTTCTAGTCTGGACTATTGCCTTGCCCTTCTGGCTGGACTTCCAACATGTGCAATCAAAATGATTCCGAACGTGTCTCTACTTGTCTTCAGCAAACCCAAAAGAGCCCATGTCACACCACTGTTTATCTCTCTGCACTGGCTTCCTTGCAGCTCCCATCAAATTTTAAGACATTAGTTCTTTAGTTTAATCCCCCAACTTCAGATTCTTTTAGCAGAGTGAAGCCTTGTTTATACTCGACGCGTCCGCACGAGCGTGAGTCTCCGCTGACTGCGCGCGCACCTCTCCAAACGGACGAGGCGTTTATACTTGACGCGCTCGCCGTTGTGCTATTCTGTGAAACGACAGGGGGCGTCTCCGAGTAATTCTCCTCTAAAACACCAGGAATCAGCAGTGAAGAAGTAGTTTGCCGTTTATTAGTAGTTTATTAATTGCTGATTCATATAAAAAGAGTAATAAATGCAGTAGGTTTATTGTACTTTCACTGCATGTATACTAGTTAAACAACTGAAGCCTTATTGAAGAGTGTTTAAACCTTAATTTCATCAGCAGGGCTTACTTCTGCTATTGTGGGCTTATTTTGTAAATATAAGCAGTTTAGACAAGTGCAAACTGGGTGCTTAATGCAAATGTGTTCCTATTCACAAAATGAGAGGCTTTTATGGTCGCCCATCAATGCAAATGTCTCTGTGTATAGAAGGATCATAAACATGCTGGTACAGACATACCAGTTCGGCCAGATTCGGCTCGAAGTCGTTCATCTTCGGATGCGGCGCCGCGCGCGATGTTACAAAAAGTGCCGTGCACACCGCCAGGCGAAATGGGGTCTTGCGCACCCAACGCGCACGACCGCCCACACCGCAATGACGTCATTTTTGCCGCGCGCACCTTCGCGCTCTTGCGGACGCGGCGAGTATAAACAAGGCTTAAGGTTCTCCTGCAGTACTGCTGTGTGTTTTGCTCTATCCTTTTTCAAAATCTTATTTATATCACCGGGGCTTGAATTTGAAAGAGCTACTAAAGAAAAAAAGGGTAACGCTTTAGATTACAGCCTGGAAAGTACTGCGTAATTAAAGCAATTTTACAGCGTAAACTTCTGTAATTATAGTGTACCTATAACGTACTTACAATATAAGTATAAGGAAACAATATTTTAAGTTTAAAAAAATATTTATACTGTAAGTATTATAGAACTAAGGGGTACTTATTCTACCTTTATGAAACAACAATCTTACATTTGGGATCAATTTAGCAAGAACATACCTTTTTTGAAATAATGGTGAACCAGTACATACTGTATAGGCTTTTTAAAAATTACAGGGTACATATCTATGCATTTATAAAGTAATCTTTTAACAAAAGTGCACTGAAAACGAAAACTATTGCAACTTTTGCTTAAATATTGGGGAAAGATACACTTGTTTCATATAGTGGTGCTTGTTACCCCCTTGTTCCATGTAGTTACAGGGTAAGTGTGACATTGCGGGCTGTAAATTAAAGTGGTGCTTGATACCCTCTTTTTCCATGTAGTTACAGGGTAAGTACAATACAAATACATACACAATCTTATATCACTGACTCGGAAACCTTTATTTATTATACAAGCACCACTTACCCTGTAACCACATGAAACAAGATATATTTCCCAGTATTTAAAAAAAAATTTTAATAGTCTTAGCTTTTCTTTCCTTGAAACATGTTAGCCCAAACTTAAACATCTGCACTTTTATTACAAAAAGGTTTATTTTTTTACACTTTTTACACTTTTATTTTTTTACACAATTATTACAAAAAGGTACGTTATGGTATTTTCCCGCTAAATTGCTCCCAAATGTAAGATTGTTATATCATAATAGTAGAATAAGTACCCCTTAGTTCTATAATACTTACAGTATAAATATTTTTTTAATTCTCCTGGTTGTTACCCCTTTATTCCCCAAACTTTACATAATGTTCCCTTATACTTACATGCAAGTACTTTATAGGTACACTATAATTACCTAAAGTTACTCTGTAAATTCCTCTTAATTACACAGTACTTTCCGGGCTGCAATCTAAAGCGTTACCAAAAAAAGTATTGTAATTTGGTTTTATAATGTATTTCAGCTTTGTAAACCACAGCAGAGGTATTGCTCCACAGCAGAGGTATTGCTCCACAGCAGAGGTATTGCATTTTTGCAGACTATATAATATCCTCATTTAATGCCTTTGGCCTTTAACTCATCTTTAACTCTCTTCAGGTAGCCAGGATCTGGATAGCCATTACTGTGGATAGAAAAAAAATATTTGACATGAAACCCAAAATAATATGAAATGTTTGATTAGTGGTTTTGCTGGACATGATGGACAATTGAAAGCACACTTTAAATGAACTCATACCTTTCAGGCCCACCGGATATGTTGGTCTTATGATGAATATCATTACAGGTGACCACATTATCTGCACCTGTAGTTGTAGATCTCCCGACAGTAAAGATCAGTTTCTGTTTAAAAGCCCTATGCAGCAGTGAGAGCACTTCTTTTCCTTCAGGATTGTCTGGCAAGTACGCATGAAGATTTGACCCATAAAAAGGCTTTCCTGGGTTTGGATGCTGCTTCTAAAAATTATTTAAAAGATGTATTACTGTACAATAACATTAAACAAATCAATGTAAAAATAGAATATGATCTACAAGGAGGTCACAAATTTCTTTTTATTGTGTTTGTTTTAACAGCAGGGGCGTCTACTCCTGCTCCTGGAGGGCCGCTGTCCTGCAGAGTGTAACTCAAACCTGCTCTAATACACTTGCCTGGGACTTTCTAGTAATCCTAAAGACCTTGATTAGCTGGTCCAGGTGTTTAATTGTAGGGTTGGAGTTAAACTCTGCAGGACAGTGGCCATTCAGGAACAGAACTTGTGCTTGTGTTATTAAGCCCATGTGCCCAGGAGTGGTTTATTAGGAGCGCACAGCCTGTAGACCTTTAGCCAAGTGCTTTGATTTACATTTTTGATCACAGTTCAGTTTTACACGTTCTTACCGTTTGAACACCATCAGGTATGTCATAGTAGATTTCAATAGTGCCACAACCTGGATATCCAGGAAGACTCATTCCGGTCTTTGTTGCTTTCATTTTTCCAATTGGTTGGTTTCCCTCCAATTTCCCATACACTTCCTTACACACAGGACAGATGGATCCCATACTCTTCTTTGACCCACAATCTCGACAGAATTCATATTTTCTAGATTTTTTTTTTAGATCATCAATGAAACCCTTATCAGCTTCACTCCGCCCTTTAAAATTCATCCCCTCTTCCCGTACTGATCCTCCCACTGCTCCTTCCCCATAATCAGGCATCTGATTCCATTGGATTCCTCTTGCATGAGGAACGTCCTCCGAGTAACCAATCGATTTCTTCTTCTTGTCATCAAACACACTCTTCTGAAGCATCTTCTCAATTTCAGCAATGGCAGGACCGAGATGTTCTGGCAGTCCAACGAGCCTCCAGCGACTCAATGCATCTTCTGCAACAACACAATGATGCTCCTGCTGAAGTTTCTCTACTTCTGATGCCACAAGAGTTGCGTCTGTAGGGTTTTTGAGTTCACAGGTGACAGCGGCCGATCCAAGTTTCTGGTAGAGTTGTGTTAAAGCTCTGATGGCATGACTTTCAAGATTAATATGTTGAACTCCTTTGGATTGAGCTTGAACCTTAATGGTTACATTTTTCTGCTGTTTTTCTTCATTAAATGACACTCCGTACTTTGTTTCAAGCTGTGATAATTGCTCCTTATAGGAAAGTTTCATCAGATCCCAATGAACCGTGTCCATCTCTAGATGAGTTGGAAGATCCTTTGTGTCCATGTTAAATAAAGACCTGTTTTCTTTATTCATTTGACTTGATTTGTCATTGAATTGGCTTTCCATTCTTGTTCCTTCTTCGTCTCTTTTAATCACGTCTGTATATTTCTTCGGTCCAAAGAACAGGCAGTCACTGGCAGACATGGTGAACATCATCTTTGCCTCCTCTGACTGGATGAAACGAAGGGCGTGCTTCACAATATCTGAATTCATGTGATTATGATTAATGGCAGCATGACTAAAACTACCAACACATTCCTGAACAAGTTTCTCAAAGTCATCAGTGGTTTTAGGCACAGAATCAGGGCTTGATCTCTGGATATGTTTGATTGAGACTGACACTTCTGCACAAATAGAGACTCCATGCTGTTTCTCAAATTGTTCTAACTCCCTTCTGTAAGCGTGATGCATGTACCAGAACTCATAAAGGGGGACAGTCAGTACAGCTGGTGTATCAGGGGTCGTTATCGCAGTTTTACTGGACTCAGCTTTATTTGAAGCTCTATTAGATGCAGACACGTCATCAACATCATTTGTGTATTCTGATGCTGCAGTCACGGGCATAGAACCGATCACCTAAAAACATATGATGGGACTTGATTAAAGGACTTAAGTAAAATGGAAATATTTTAATTATCATACCACCAAATTATTGCTACAAATTATAGTGTAATTTAATTATAATCATAGATTAGTATTAGTATTATTAAGAGTCTGAACAGAAATAGTTTATTTGCTAGATACTAACTATTTAGTTTGTATTGTAGGTTTTTTTTTTTTTTTTTTTGGGCTATGCATATGGCTTTTTTTCACTCAGCAATGAAAACTTTTTTTTTTTAAAAACAAGAAAAATGATTATAAACAAAGTAAACATGATACCTTTGTTGAAGGCGCTCCGTTGTCCTTTACAAAATGTGCTTCATCCAGACCAATCCATGCAGTCGCTTCCTTAAATGTACCATCCTTATAATCTTTAAACCTCAAAGATATACGGTTGAGCCTTTTTAACACTTCTAGAGCTGCACAAAATAAGAGTACATTTAATTAAACAATAAGAAATAGCACTAATAATTTGACAAAGTAATTTTAATGAATAAAATGCTGTTATGCCGTTTAAACCCATGTGGAATTTATTTAAAATGTAAAAGTCCACTAAATTAAATCAATCAGTTGATGATCAGTAGCAAGTGATTTCACTGGATTGGGTAAAGCAGAAAAGCAGAAAACTCTAACAGATCTGTTTGTGAGAGAGGGAACAGTATTGCTGATGCTTTCAATAACTGATGACTAGTAGAACAATCACTTAAAAATAATAAAAATAAGTATTCCAAGTGGCAGATTGAGCCATAAGAGATGTGTGTTTGAGACAGATCGAGCATCTTATGAATGTGGTTGATTAAGACCATTGACAGATGATCTCCATTGGGAAACTTTCTGGGTTTTTACAGTCTTCTGGCATTGCGATCTTATTCAGCCTATCTCTGACACTTAAAGGGTTAGTTCACCCAAAAATGAAAATAATGTCATTAATGACTCACCCTCATGTCGTCCCAAGCCCGTAAGACCTCCGTTTATCTTCGGAACACAGTTTAAGATATTTTAGATTTAGTCCGAGAGCTTTCTGTCCCTCCATTGAAAATGCATGTACGGTATACTGTCCTTGTCCAGAAAGGAAATAAAGACATCATCAAAGTAGTCCATGTGACATCAGTGGGTTAGTTAGAATGTGTTGAAGCATCGAAAATACATTTTGGTCCAAAAATAACAAAAACTAGGACTTTATTCAGAATTGTATTGTCTTCCGGTTCTGTTGTGGATCCGTGTTCACGAGTCCGCAGTGCCGCCGCTGACGTAAGACGCTGCTGACGTGTGTCTGGTGCGCCCGTGTATTCGGGTTCAAATAAATATGGTTGGGCAAAAAAATGCAAGTGTTCCTCACATGTTTGCGAAGATTGTTTTGTGTCCAGCGTGCGTCTCCCTCAGACTGTAAACGAAGCTCGGGCGCACCAGACACACGTCAGCGGCGTCTTACATCAGCGGCGGCACTGAACGCGGATCCACAACAGAACCAGAATACACACACACACACATACACACCAGACACACGTCAGCAGCGTCTTACGTCAGCGGCGGCACTGAACGCGGATCCACAACAGAACCAGAATACACACACACACACACACCAGACACACGTCAGCGGCACTGAACGCGGATCCACAACAGAACCGGAAGACAATACAATGCTGAATAAAGGCCTAGTTTTTGTTATTTTTGGACCAAAATGTATTTTCGATGCTTCAAAACATTCTAACTAACCCACTGATGTCACATGGACTAACTTACTTTGATGATGTCTTTATTTCCTTTCTGGACAAGGACAGCACAGAAAGCTTTCGGACTAAATCTAAAATATCTTAAACTGTGTTCCGAAGATGAACGGAGGTCTTACGGGCTTGGGATGACATGAGGGTGAGTCATTAATGACATCATTTTCATTTTTGGGTGAACTAACCCTTTAAGATGCCATTCTGGATCAAGAATCTGAACACAAATGAGCAAAGCAGCTTTGTCTGCTTCAGTCAATCCCTTCATTAGTGGCCAAACACAGAAGGTGTGTGTGTGTAGGAACCTAGTGTATCCTTTAGTGTTCCTCTTCTTATTATTATTCCTTCTTCTTCTGCTTCTTCCACTATTGAGTCTATGGCAGCCCATTGAACAGCTTGCGGGAAAGTTGTGAATTTTAACACATAAATAAAGGACAGTCGGAACATCAACCACTGCAATTTTGGAGTCTCTAACTCGAACCTTCTAGCGCCACCAACTGTCCAAGTTTGCACTCATGTTTATGCTAATAACTTTTGGATAGGGCAAGAAACAAGGGCTAGAAACAAAATTATTTTTCAAGACAATTGAACCTCATCCTAGAAGGTTTGTCTGATTGTCAGACTCATATCTTCAGAGTTCAGACCATGCTGGCAAAAAGTTAAATGCTTTTTGATAAACATTCTCTAATAACGCACTATTGCAACTGATGGCATAGTCAAGTGTCATACATTTTGAATTTTGATATAGTAAATGCAATATTTTACGAACTCATTAGCGCATGATTACAAAACTCGGAAAGGGTCATCAGAACCATGGCCCGAATGTATTAAAAAAGTTATTTTAGAAGACTTCTGGTCAAAATTTATAATGAAATTTAAAAAAATGCTAATAGTGCCGGCAAGATGTTTTTAAAAGCCTTTTGATAGACCAAACCATTCTCGAATAATGCACAACAAATTTGATGGCATGATGCCAAGCTGATTCTGAGTCTGCAATGATTTGCCATATTGATACCAAACTCTGTGTGTCATTGTCTCCTCACTCTGACCACACAACATCCATTTGTCACCATTAAAGTTTCAGCGCTGCTTCCCACTTCATTTTTGAGCTAATTTATTTGCTTTTAACACTATATTACATTTGTAAAGAAAGCTCATTTTAATGTCATTTAAATTAGCTCAATTTTCTTTGTTTGTAATTCATTTTAGCCTTGGCCTATTAATCAAACCGCCATCTCTCGCATGACAGATGGAAATTTTGACTTTTTAAACACATCATCTGCTGTTCAATCATTTGATACTGATTAAAGCAAATTAAATATGACTGGATCAGACTAACAATTGTTGTCAATTGTAACTTTAAACAGTAACACGACTTTAGTACTTACTCCTTACTTCTAAATATGTAAGTGTAATGTTTATTACCAGCAATGTTACCACCAACACTGGTATTTGCAATTGTGTATACGGCAAAATATACTGTATGTGTTTTAGTTCATTCAGAAGCTAGCATTCACAAGATTGAAGTTGAAATGTTATTCAAGTGAATTATCATATCACCTCTTGATGGTGTTATCTGCACCTCTGCACAGGACGGATCATCCATGAGTTTAAGGCTGACGACATCAGTTTTTCCTTCCATTTTGAGGAAGCAGCTCTGAAGGGCTTTCTGTAATGTTGCTCTCCATCTCTCTGGAAATGGTTCTCTCCAGTCCACTTTGATTATAAATTTAGCAACATCCAGTGGTGCTGAAGGTTGTGGCCTTTCATAGCCAGCTGTATAAATGTCCTGTTGATGGGAAAATAGTTATGAATGCAGATTCTGATTTTCTATGTGGGAAAATACCCAACTTAGTGCCAACCTGAGTAATGTTTACGTAAAGTTATTTTAGGTAGAAGTGTAGCAAGTGCAGACCATAAACTACACCTGAGCATTAGTACTGAATGTTTTCATATTTTACATTGTTTGTATTATTTGAGCTGTTTATTTGTTAGTTGTAATTTGTATCTGTGATTTGACAAATGCCTGCAAAAAGAAAGATCAGACAAGATAGTCCATCATCAGCTCTAAAAAACTGAAAGATTGATCTGCTGAGTTATAAGAACTCCAAACTGGTGTGAATGGTATAATTAGCAAAACTATGAATCATATTTTTTGAAAAATAATATTTATCCGTAAAATGGTTGTTAGAAAAGTTTGAGGATAAGCATTTGATATTATTTGATACATTATGCTTTGGCATTTAATCAAACATAAATATATATGGAGATTGTGGTTGGATAATGCCCCTCAGATAATCGAAGGTTCAAGTTTTACTCTTTAATAAATACCTTTTCTGACAGTGAGTCTGAATTGTGTGTTCGATCCATTGTGAAGTTTAGATGCATCATGTCATTCAAAGTTGTTCCAGAGTCTTGACCTTCAGCTCCTGCAGTATATAAGTCCTAACATTCAGAAAAAAAACACCATCATAAAACACCTTTTAAAAAATAATTTCAGTAACAATTTTAAAAACTAAACCCTATTTATATACTTGTCAAGGTTCTGCTGGATAAACACGAACAAAGAGAAAGAGAAAGGTTTCAAACAGTAATTAATAATATCCACAGATTAAATCCAGCAAGCAAACACAACCATACATGAATGAGACCGGACAGAGGTGAACTGAAATCACAGGACCTAAATAAATAGACAATCGAGGTGATTAACGATAACAGTGATGATAAATCAAATTAACAAAAAAACTAGTGGCGGTAAATGGTGCAACTGAGTTCAAACATGGTGATATTATGATATTACGCTCCCTCCCAGAAAGGCGCGACCACACGCGAAGATGAATGGAGGAGGCTCTGGTGGAGGATGAGAGTCCAGGAGAGGGATGAAACAGAGGACAGTCCAGGGATGTGCAGATGGTGATTTAATCCAGAGGATGGCCTTGAGCAGGAATGGCTTGATGGTGCTCCAGGCCACAGCCAGGACGGCGTCCCACGTCAGCTTTGCTGGAGGGATGAGCCATGGTGGTGAGGGTCTTCACCCCACCCCAGGGACGAGTGAAGGTAATGGAGCCGATGGAGTTGGAGCCCTAAGCGCAGACAGAGCCGAAGGAGCGGAGTGACACTGACGGTCCCTGAGTCTGCGACGGAGCCGCAACGACGACCCCTGGAGATGGAAACAGGGTACCGGAGGACTGAGGTGGAGGTGGAACGACTGAGGGCTGAGGCGTAGCTTGAGCAAAAGTGGAGCCAAATGGACCCATAGGGGTGGAGGGCCAGAGAGCAGCAAACAGACCGCAAGTCCATGGTGAAATGATGGCGATGTCTGAGCCAGGCGGAGACGAGGGTCCCAGTGAGTTCCAGCTTCACCTCAAATTTTTGGAAAAAGTCTGGAGAGGATGTGGGAGAGGGAGGCTGGGCGGGACCAGCGAGTCCAAAAAAGAACAGACAGGATCGGGTGAGATTAAAGAGGGTAGAGGATCTTCCTCTCCAAAATCAAAATAATAGTTCCTAGTGGTTGCCAGAAAGTCACTCTCAGTGGCGGGAGTGTGTGCGGGGCTCCATTCTCCATTCCCAAACTCCTCACAAACTCCCTCGATGTTGGATGATGGTCAGACTCGCGAGGCACCGGCTCTGCAGCACCCTTTCGCTCAGTCACTGAGTTCCTTTCGTCACTGGCTCCTGCATTGCGGTAGAGGTGGGCTCTCTGTCTGCGGTGGGCTCATGCTGCTGTTCCTCGACATCCGAGGTTCCTGGCTGGGCACTGGATTGGGAGGGGGGCTGGTGTTGTCGTCGGGTCCTACGGTGAAAGGTGATCCACATCCACAAAGGTGATGCGAGCACCTCAAGTTCCCTCGAGATCCCTTCCCGAACAACTGAACATTTGTCCATGCGTTGAGTCCAACGTAGAAGAATGAACACAGGCAGTTGTCGGGGAAGTGAGAAAGAATGGCAATGTCATTGAATTCTGCCACATGTGCCTCGAGGGAGCGACTTCCCTGCTCAAGGCACAATAACAGGAACGAGGGAGAGTCCGTGGTGACGAAAAGAAAATAAACACGAAAACACTGACACAAAACAAAACAAAAACAGGGCGCAATCTATATCACTTTATGGTCTTGTCTTCTGTCATGGTTCTGCTGCATAAACACGCATGAAGATGAAGATAAAGATAAAGGTTTCAAACAGTATTTAATAATATCCACAAGTTGATGAGAAAATGAGCGAGACCCGACAAAGGTGAACTGAAAACATAGGACTTAAATACACAGACAAAAAAGGTGATTAACGATAACACAGCTGACAGTGATGACAAAATCCAATTAGAAACCACGATGAAAAGCTAGTGGCGCTAAATGGTGCAACAAGTCCCAACAGGGTGTGACATTATTTGAACTCAATATGTCTGGATAAGACGTTTTTGTTCAATTCTAATACCTTGGTAACCAAGACGTTTTTTTTTTTTGTTTATCTGGAGTATTTGACCATATATAAAGGAGTTTCTGCTACCTGAGAACTGTGAGGAACAACAACAGGTGGATTTATACTCTAAGAGCCATTGTAAATTGTTTTTAATTTATTGATTTTAATGAGTATACCAAAAAATAGTAGATGAGTCACTGACACAAATTATTATGGTAGATGTACTTATGTAATGAGTAGTAAAACACACACGAATCAAAGATGATTCAAAGTCCTTTTTAATAAATGAGGAGAACACTTGAGGGAAAATGAACAAGGCAACTACACTTTAACCTACTGGTCAACGAGGCGAGGTGGAGTGATGGGCTTGGCAGCTTTAGCTGGAGCCAGGGGATCTCCTTGCCAAGGCGGAGCTGAAGACCTGAGGCAGATCCATGCAGTAGAGCGGAGTCGACAGAGGGGGGTGGAAGGACTGAAGGGAACCAGGGGAGGTGGGGCCGATGGACTGGCTGTTATTGGAAGAAGAAATAGGAGAGGGAGGCTGGGTGGGATCATTGGAGATGTAGGAGACTTGGAGCTGAGCAGGACTAGCAGAGATGCAGAATACTTGGAGACTCAGAGGAATATCCTTTTCCATTTACTCATAACGTTTCCCAGAGTCCATATGCAGCTCACCCTCAGTGGCGGGAGTGTGAGTGGGGCTCCATTCCATGCCCTCGTACTCCACGAGGATAAGCACTGGGATGGATGATGTTGCCAGTTCAAGCACTTAGTGGTCAGACTTTCTGTCTGTCTCCGGGGTGAGGATTGGCTCATGCTTTGTCTCTGGCGCTGCCATTGCAGCAAGCTTGGCTCTGGGTCTGGAGTGGGGCTGGTGATGTCCTCCTCAGTGGGGCAGATGGTAAACACCTATCCGTTGTTCACCAGCACCCACTCACAAATGCGGAGACGTTTCCCAGAGCACCGTTCACGGGCAGGCATGCCTTGATATTGCTCCAGGTTTTGGGTGAGGCACGCCAGATATAAAAAGCCCCTTGTGTGGTCCTCAAGGGAGCGATCTCAAATGCGGGCAAATCCATAAAATCAAATCTCGGTTCTGTTACTAGTAGTAAAACACGCACAAATCAAAGATGAGTCAAAAGTCCTTTTAAAAAAACAAGGAGAACACTTAGGAGAATTAAGGCAACATTAACATACACAACAAAGAACATTGAACTGAGAAAACCAGGGGCTTATAAACACAGGGAATATGTCTGTGTGTGTGGTTCAGGTTTCCCTGTTATGGGTATATTTTATGGTCCCCATGAGGAAAACAGCTTATAAATCATATTAAATAATGGGGGTTTTTTTAATGTAAAAAATGCAGAACGTTTTGTGTGATGGTTTGGGTTAAAGTTAGTTAGTGTAAGGGGAGAGAATATACAGTTTGTACAGTATGAAAACCTGTGTGTGTGTGTGTGTGTGTGTGTGTGTGTGTGTGTGTGTGTGTGTGTGTGTGTGTGTGTGTGTGTGTGTGTGTGTGTGTGTGTGTGTGTGTGTGTAATTAATAAATAAATACTACAATGACTCACATATTCGTCAATGTCCATTGGTTCAACTGCCTGTTCCATTGATATAGCGAGAGAATCTCCAATGAGAACTTTAGCCTTGAGTAAATAATAGGAAAAGAGTTTTATTAATTTTTACAAACAAAACGAATAAATAAAATTAAAAACGCTTCAAATACTAACTTGCTGATATTGGTCAAATGTAAGGCAGTGCAGGAAATATTGAAACTTAGTTAACGCCAAACAGAAAGTTATAATGAGCTTCAGCTCTACTATAATTAACACTAAAATATCGATGTTATAGCTCGCATTTTTGTCAATATCGATAGCGAAATACATTTAGTTTCATTTTCGTTTCGTATAGTGTCTACAGAACTGTAAAAAAAAACACGTTCAAACATTTTGTTTAAATTCGATCCTTCGTCTTCACAAATGTAGTTTTTTATATTCTCTGGACTGCAGACACACACAGTGGCTGTCGATGATCAAAGTGAAGATCAATATTGTTATTATTAACAGCGCAGCTCCAGAATATTAGTTCTGGATTATACGTAGGCTAAAGTCCTTGTCGGCAAAGTAGTGCCACAATAATTAAACAACAAGAAGAACAAAATGGTGTTTTAATCTGGTACCTACCGTCTACCGAAAACCGTGAGCTGTGTGAAACTGCATTCAACCTGCATCAACTGGTGTTTGAGCGAAAACGAAAGCAAATGACAAGTTTGTGCAACCGATCCAGTATTTGTATTAGGGGAGGAGGGAGGGAATATTAGATCTGTGCATATTATACATTTGTACAAGCACGGATTATAACATCGATGTGTCTCGGGGATGTCTCATATGACAAACATAGAAGCCAGACGATTAGGCATTTAGAGCTTCAGACACATCTTTCACATCAGACTGGTATCTGTACGCTTTCAAATGTGATATTGATACCGTATTGAAAAAGTAGTTAAAATTAATGACTTAGCCTACATTTTATAGATAGCCTACAATTATTCTTCAACATTTTCAGTTTTCTGTGAAATTCCCATGGGACCGAAACAAAATGACTTTTTATATTTAATTTTTTTTTTCTCACAGCTAATAGGCTACTTCATATCAGAATAATCCAATTAAGCCACAGTATTTAAAGGGATAGTTCACCCAACACTTCTGTCATCATTTACCCATTCTCATCATGGCCTTCCTTTAATCTTCCAAACAGAAATTAAGATATTTAAAATGAAACCTAAGAGGTTTCTGTCCGACCATTGGCAATAACCAAAACATAAAAGATCCCAACAGGTCATAAAAGTATTATAAAACTCTGCAAGACACTTTCTCGTGGGAATGTAAAACTTTTGCGAGCGAACCCAAAAGCATTGAAATATAGCATACTGTATAATTTTCTCCCATCTAATATTTGTTCTTCTTTGAAAAACTGCCACAAAAGATGGATTACCTGATCCTGGAGAGCAAAACATGAGATTACCATGGATAATTCTGATCCAGATTAAACTTTTTGAACAACTGGGCCCAGAAGTATTTTATTTTTTTCCTGTAGGGCCTAAATGTAAAGAACTTGTTATTAAAATCCAATTACAGCTATCATTTCTTTTGAAAAGGCATATTTTAATCTAAATTATTGTGCCCATTATTTCTGTTGTGCTCCGTCTCTTCGATACAAATCCTGAGCAAATGTAACGTTAGTGATTTATTTTGCACTGTCTCGCTATTTAAAGTCTCAGTGGTGAAAACCCAGCTTTTTTCATGAAGCGCACATCCTACGCATTTTTCCCTTAATAAATCACAATCAATTCTAAATGTAGCGCAGCTTTTGCGGCTTCATGTCACGCCCATAGTTGCCCATAAATAGTCCGTGAAACGCCCACAAGTTAATAGCCTATTCATCGATTGCGAAATCATGGCAAACATAGAGAGGAAATAAAAAAAACGTAACTTCACTCAATGTGAAGTAGAAGTTATCGTTGGCGAGGTGGAAAAGATGAGAAAATTTTTGTTTGGAGGGCACAGTGTGGGCATTACTAATGAGTGGCAAAAGGTTGCAGACGCCGTAAATGCTGTAGCCTCACAACCTCGGACTGTGGCCGAAATAAAAAATAAATGACAATGCTACAGATGTCGGTTATAATCTACTTGGAAATGGGAAATAGTTCAGCGCATATGTAATTTCTTGCATCTTTCTGAACGATTGAGACATAGGTCTACATCATACGTTATTTTATCAAAAATAAAACAAACTAAAGGCATATGCATGAATACCATGATTCCGTAGCTGATGAAGACATGTTTACTATAAAAAGAACTTTCCCCAGTGCAAATGTAACGGGGGTACTCTTATTTTGGCGAGCGATCTACTTTTTGCGGGTGCTGTGAATGCAGCGGAGAGACGAAGAAGCGCGTGTGTGATGAGCAGAAGAGAGTGCAGTGTCGCGATTGAGAAGCTCGTTCGATAAAGCCCCATTCACACTACACGCGACTTTGTAGGCGCTGGCGAGGAGGTCGCTAGTGGGCGTTCCCACTACTGGTTGACTAGTATGACATCCAAAAGACAGCGAATCAGCTTTCTTGCCATCCATCACTGCAGGCCCAGGGGCTGAGGAGAAGGATCACGTGCGCTCCACTCCTGGTTGTCGCTCGCGAAAATCGCTCTTCATTTGCATAAAGTTAAACATTTCTCAACTTTGTCGCGTCGCTAGACACGCCCCATCTAGTCGCCAACGGTCGCTGTCGTGCGTGTCGCCGGAAGTCGCCCGCTCACCATTGAAATGAATGGTATCGCGTCGCTTGGTCGCGTGTATGAACGGGGCTTAAGTCGTTTCAATTGAAGATTATTGAGGCTTAAGGTGAGTAACCGCAACCGCAGACAGCACTAAGTGAAAGTGTGAGCAGTGACCTACGTTTGATTTTGTAGAAGACAGTTTTGTTCCAGTGGTATGCGTTTACTGTGAGAATGACGCGGTGACACATTGTGAAGACCACAGAAGCTGTGAGTACATTTTAAGTGCAAACTCTGTTTGATTTTTGTAATTCAGAGACTTGTTACACGTTTTTTTTTTTTGCAGTTTTATGCACTTCTCGTGTTTTGATAGATAAGTATCGTCGAGTTAGTGGCTGAATGAGACGGTTCACGTGTAATTGAGTTTCCCGCACGAGTCAGAGCACGTGAGAGTGAGCTCGCTGAAGCAGTTAGTGAAGAGATACAATTTTTTTCGCTGATTCCAGAGTGAAGATTGTTGTTACCCTGCCATTCAAGTGACATCTCAGTCTAATTCACCTTCAAGTTGATTTTATTTTTGAGACAGTTCATTTGTGAAACGGTTGATACCAAGTCGATTGCATACTTGAACTTGCACACTTCAATACGGGATCTTCAGGTGTTGCACCCCACGTCCAGACAACGCACTCGAATTCATCGTTCCGTGAACTGGTATTTTTCTGATTTTCCAGTGACTGAACTGATAAACTGTGAACTGTGAGTGAACATTTAAAGGTGCTTATTCAAGGGTGAGATTTGATGGTATGTTTATGTTTGTTGGTTTGAAATGTGATTGTTTGAAGGTGATCTTTTGAGAAAGGTGATAATTTGTTGGTATACAAATTGACACATTGAAAATTATTTCATTTTGAAGTTCCATAAGGGATTTGTTATATCACAAGAGAAGAGTTTTACAACTTCAGTGTTGAAAAGTTGGTGTGAATTCAGAAAGAAAGACAACTCAAAGACTGTGAATTTATTTTGTTCATTTCTTAGACAAAAAGACATAACCAATCACAAGAAAAATAAATTGTTTTAATTGTTTTTGTGCTTATGTACATTTTCATTGAGAGCTGCTAGGGAGTGGGGGTAGTCTCACTTACTTTATCAGATCTGGGGAGGGAGGAGCATAACACACTGGGCTCTATCTTGCACTCGGCGCAAATGACTTTGTACACTGACGCATGTATCATTCCTATTTTGCACCCGCGCAAAGCGGACTTTTCCCTCCACAGACACACGTCGGTTAACTAAGAAAAACACTTGCGCTCCCCGGGGCGGTTCAGCGCAAAGAGGAGGCGTGTTCCGGCGCAAACTTTCCCTCATGCTATTTTGCTGTTCTATAAAACAATTGCGCCACTGACCAGAAAAAAACTAGTCTAAAGTCAGTGGCGCGTTGCGCGTTGTTCATTATGCTATTTTAAGCGCGCATGCTTGGCCATAATGTAGCGGGTGCACAACGCGCATACACTTTGATTCTCTCATCAACACAGATGCAGCAGTTTTTATTTTTGCAAATCATACATTATAACAAGGAAAAATATTAACACATGAGGGAAATCATTGTGGTGTCCATGAAAATTTAGTTTTTTTCCTCCCACGCCTGTTTAACCGACGCTGATTTGTATGGGGATGGGAGAAACCCACCCACGATAGATAGATATATAGATAGATAGATAGATAGATAGATAGATAGATAGATAGAGAGATAGAGAGATAAATAGATAGATCAGTCTGATTTGAACGTTGAATTTCTTGTTATTTCTGCATGCATTCTACTTCAGACAGTCAATAAACAGTGCCGTCTGAGGGTGTTACTGCATGAGGGTTTATGCCATAGTTTACAGGTGCACGCAAAACACGCAATACAACGTCACTTCTCTGTCTTTCACGGTCCTGACAAGAACGTCGGTCTCCTCGGCTGTGAACCGCTCCTGACGCGCGCCTGGTAAATCCGCCGTTATAATAGCAATCCGCCATGCAACATGCGCACCTGCTCTTAAAGGGAATGTGAGATGACGCTCTGATTGGTTTATTCCACGTTACGCCCAAACCACACCTATGAATAATGAAGCTACTTCAGACCAACCTCTTTTAGATTTGCGCCAGGCGCAAGAGGCATTTATCCCGCCGGGAAAATAGCAACAGCGCCGGGATCCGCCCACAAAGTTACTTGCGCTTTGCGCTTTGACACTTGCGTTTCAGATCGTTAAAATAGGGCCCACTGTGTTTTAATATGCAATTTTTCTTCAGGAAGCCGCCGGGTGACATTATTATACCTGAAGCCTACCCTTGTCGATCTTTAGATTTTCCAAAC